CCCCCCCCCCCCCCATTTGCGGCCAGAAATGTCCCAATCGTTAGCCCCATAGGCTCAATGTTAAAATAACGTCTTATCCAGCCACCTGTCTAACGCGGCCAACGGCCGAGGATTTGCGGACCCTCCGTGCCGACCACTCTTGAATCCGGCCAGAACACAGGAAGGAAGTTTGCAGGTTGATTTCCTTCCTCTTCATTTCCCTCCCTTCTAGTCTCCCACCTTTCCGCTCCCCCTCGCTAATCTTGGAATTGTCTTGGTTGTCAAGGTCACATCTTCGGAGTCTCAATAGCGAGAAAACGTTCATCCGAGTGTTGACCTAATTCTTCCATGCATATTGCCACATTTCTTTTTGGCCATCGACTGCCGCGGAGAAGCCGAACAAACATTAAAGACCTCCAGACAATCAAATCAGGGTCCTCAAATTTCTCTCGGTGTACATGAAATAAATAAAATCTAGCAAAATCAGGCTACCATACCTTTCGAAGATACAGTGCGTGTTAAATTTTCTTGGAAAACTTACTGGCAAGTACCTCTAAGTTTCCCTAGAGGCAAAACCGAAAAAAAAAAACATTTTATACCGGCCACCTGTAAGAACCGGCCGAATTTAAAAAGTCCCCCCTTGTGGCCGTTTCACACTGCATAGCAGTTTCGTCCATATCTGCCAGCTCACTTTTTCCACACTCACCTTAAAAGAGCAGAATTTTGAAGCCACAATGCACAAAATACTATGAGTCCTTTCGACTAGGTCATCGAAGACATGGCATGAAATGAAATGCCAATGAAATGAAATGAAATGAAATGCCAATGACCAACATCCTCCAGGCTTAGGTCCAAATCCCACATCCACCCGGCCCGGTGTCAACTGCTTCGTCCAGCATCCAGCACTATCGTGCAAGAACGCATCCGTCCCCATCGTAAACCTCCCAACCAGAAATCAGCAATTTCTGGGATTCACCGTCCAGCGGTCGTTTGATGATGATGAGCAGGTGTGCTCATCATCGGTGGATTGAAGCCGGATGGATGTACCGTAGAATGCACTGTTTCTACTTAGATGCATTCTTTTTTTTATTCGACCAGTGGACGTAACTTCCATCACTGTCCGAAACAATTGTTATGGTGGCACTCGCAGGTTGTCCCCTGTCCAATTTTTTGTCCCCTGTCCAATTTTTTGTCCCCTGTCAGCCCTGTCCAAAAACCGGGATCTCCCAGTCCACGACCCTGCTCTCTATAGTAACTCCATCGATACGAGCTTCACAAATATGCGATAATTCGATAATTTTTCACCGCTGCTGGTCTGAAACGAACCAGAAGCCACGATCTTCCCTCCCCCCCGAAAACCCACCGATAATCTTTCCCTATCGTCCCTCACCAGGCACAGTGTACGTGACCACCCCCCGCTGGCGAGAAGGCGTCCCCGCGACCCTCTCCCGAGTGTCGGGGAAGGGGACGCTGGAGCCATACCCAAGCCATCGGATGCAGACGCTGGGGGACTGCGATTCGCTGCAACTCGTGCAGAGCATGGAGGTCGATCCGCTGGGACGGATGTGGATCGTCGACACGGGGAGGAGCTTCGTGGACGAGGGGCCGGGGGTGAGGCCGTGTCAGCCGAGGATTCTCGTCTGGGACGTCGGGGGGAACAGGACCCTGAGGATTCATCGGTTTCCGAACTCGGTCGTGAGCAAGACGTCGTATCTCAACGATGTCGTCGTGGATCTGTCTCGGGGGTCGGACGACGCTTTTGCTTACATCACCGACTCCCGCGAGGGGGCCATCGTCGTTTACGGCTACGCCCAGGACCGGTCGTGGAAGGTGGAGCACGAGTCCATGAAGGCCAGCATGGACCTCGAAGCCCGGGAGATCCAAATCGACGGGGTGTCCATCCAGCTGAGAAGCGCCGTGAACGGCATCGCCCTGTCGCCCTCGAACGAAGAGGACTTCAGGGTCTACTATTCGCCCCTGACGTCCTTCAACTTGTACTCCGTTCCGGCGTGGGTCCTCAGAGAGGCGAAAGACGCGGGACCGCACGTGACGGACCACGGGACGAAGCCGTCGCAGTCGGACGGCATGATGATGTCGTCGGAAAACGTGCTGTACTTCGCGGGGTTGGGGACGAATGCCGTGTACGCGTGGAATGCGTCCGGGGAATGGGAGCAGGAACTGGTGGCGAAGGACGACAGAACGATGCAGTGGGTGGACACGTTCGCGATGAGGGGGGGATATCTCTGGTTCACCTCCAACAGGATGCAGTTGTATCGGGAGGGGAAGACGAAGGGCGACGAAGTGAATTTCAGGGTGTTGAGGGTGAGGGTGCCGGGGAGGTCGTACATGGGGGAAGAGGAAGTGGAGGATTCCGCGGTGGCGACTCGCTTCTCGAGTCTGCTCACCGTTCTGGTTGCTTTCTTCACGACGAGGTGGGACTGTTGAGTGATTCGCGGGGAATGCATGAATGGCCCGTAATAGTAGAAATCTTGAAATGGACGTTCGTTCGTTCCTTCACGGAAAAGTATCCGCAGTCATTTCTTTCGTGGGATTTCCTGGCTGCGAGATTTACGATGGCGACGGATGCGTGCTTGCACGATATTGTCGGATGCTGGACGAGGGATTTGGCATCGAGCCAGGTGGATGTGGGACTTGGACCTAAGCCTGGAGGATGTTGGTCATGGGCATTTCATTTCATTTCATGTCGTAACAGGCTTCGATGACCGAGTCTAACAGGCTCGCGGTATTCTGTGCGACGTGGCGTCAAAATTCGGCAGCTTTCGAGTGGAAGGAAATTCCTCTTAGGCTCCATATTCGTCTGATGAAAAGTAACATTCGCCGGAATGCAAGATGAAGCAATCCACAAAAGGCATCCGGTATTGGACAAGTTCCACCAAGTGCAACCTGCGAAGAACGTAAAAATGAAAGCAACCGAAACACGAAAACAGGAGTGCGAGTTTCTCAACTTCTTCACATCGATTGAATTTTCGTACTCAAACTCGACCGGAGAATTCTCAGGGATGCATAAAGAGGGAGGTCTCAGCGGCCAAGCCGAAGCGGGAGCCATCCCTTCTATGGAGGCTTTCATCGACATTCATGAATGCAGGTTGCATGGAGACCTGCTCGGAGCCAAATGCAAGCACGAACACATTGCGGCGCGGGAATGGTGATGGAATAAATCATGATAATCATCACTGGTTTTTCCTGTTGCCTTTGCAGATGCGAACTCCCACTTTTTCTCGAAGAAGTCTGGGATAACTAGGGAGCGGATTTTTTCTTTTATCCCGATGCATATTTTTTCTTCATTCGTGAAACTTTTTTTTTGCTCAAAATTTCTGTCGATTCCAGTAATAAAAGCACCTTTTCCGTTAAATACTCGTTCGGCGGACATGCGTCGGACGTGCACCACAGATGGTAACACTGCTAACGCCTCTCGTACATGGGCAATGCCTCAGATGTCTGGAGGGTTTTTGTGTGCGGGTATGGCTCCAGCGTCCCCTTCCCCGACACTATGGTCGCGGGGACGCCTCCTCGCCAGCGGGGGGTGGTCACGTGGTCACGTGGTCACGTGGTCACGTGGTCACGTGGTCACGTGGTCACGTACGCCGTGCCTGGTGAGGGACGCTGGGAAGGGTTATCGGCGTGTTATCGTGGCGTATGACGTGGAACGTGCACGTCGGGAGTCGCATTTGCATATGGGCTCCGAAATAGGTCGGACTGGCCCTGAATGCAACACAATGTCTTGTGTTTCTGCGATTCTTATGACACGTTAATAAATCATGGTGATTCTTCCCCTAGTCGGGATATCAATCTGTTGTACCAATCCGAAGAATTCAGGACGAGCAGGCGTAGTAAATTTGGTCGTGCCACTTTCGTCTCATTCGCAGGCCTGGCCAAGCTTGTTCTCCCAGTCTTCTGCATATCCAGCTGCTGCAAGAAGGTGCAGGCAGCCAGTGACGTCATTCCCGAGTGGGGGGGGGGGGGGGGGGGGGGGGGG